GCAGATCACATTTCACACTTTGGCTGATTTCGCCTTATTTGGATGCTAATGATGGTGAAGAGGAAGCTACGGTTGTAACTGCGATTGAAAGCAATGGTAGTTGTTGTTGTTGTATATGAGGTAGAAGTAGTTGTAATTGTGACGCTTTAACATTAGTTGAGTTGTTAAACAAATTTCAGAACTAGTGATGAGAGCTGGGAATATTGTTACTATTCTAGGCATGGTCGAATATGTAGTGGTAGACGCTTTAGTGCTCAAGGTCCTAGCTGTTACGCCTCATGTGTTGTAGTAACGATGGTAGCTGCTTTGGCACATGTGCAGTCATAGTTAACTATATACAGAATTATACAAAAATGACCTAAAAATGCGATCTAGATGTTGAAAGTAAACCACGTCGTAATTCCCCATAGGTTTCAAGGCCCACGTCACCTTCGAGCATTGCATTGAGGAGAGAAATTCTATCCTCATGGAGCTCTTCAACACAACAGATATTGACCACATCGCTGCAGGAGAAATGATCACTGTGAACGGGACGAGAGTTGAGGGACCTATGCCAGAGTTACCGAAGTGCGACCTGCAGGAGACGCTAAAGAATGTGAGTTGTAATGATGTGGAGCCATGGCTATATCTTTTCATTAAAGGTGTGGTTAAGACTCATGTAACAAGATTTTATATTAACATTGCGTGGAAACCAGCTGATTTATGCGACAAGGTTTGGTGTTTCCTGTGTTTAAGATTTTTATTTGCTGTCACCTAGCCTTGTACCCCATCAGTTTAATAATAAATTACACTAATCAACATTTATCTGGATCATTTACTACCGGAAGATTTGTATGTACGATAGTATGATAATAAATGCATTGGAGATTTATAGGCTGCATTTCTTCCAATGTCAATATTACTCCTTTATACAGCATTCATATCCCACCGTGCTCTATGATTCCTGCTATATATACACTGAACAACCATGATATACTATTATATATACAAACCAACAACTATTACACAATCCTGAGGGTCTCTTGCAATTACATAAAACCAGCACTGGTTTTATGTAATTGCATAAATTACATAAAATTACGGAAGTTTACATAAAAATTACTGAAATTACATAAAATTACCATAATTATGTAATTGCATAAATTAAATTTATACCAATTTCATCATTAACTTTCTCACATGAACTAATTCCTGAATAAATGCTCTACACAGCATTTAATCAAATTTCGCCTACTCCATACAAACTCATTATTTTCCAGTGACCTTCACTATTCACTTTGTCATGTGCTGCCTTCTTTGTTAATAAATATAATTTTGTCTTTGCCATCATTCTCAAGTACCTTTTTAACTGGCTGTCTGAATGTAATTACCTGATCCATGCTCCATCTCTCTCTCTCCTCATCAAGTCAGCGTCAGGGACGGGTTTAGCCTTCATCGTCTTCACTGAGGCCATCAACCAGTTTCCCTGGGCGCCGCTCTGGTCAGTTCTCTTCTTCCTCATGCTCTTTACCCTGGGCATCGACTCAGAGTTTGGCACGCTAGAGGGTGTCATCACCTCCGTCGTCGACCTCAAAGTCTTCCCCAACATCAGGAAGGAGATCCTCACAGGTAGGAGAGGTGCTGGGCGGTGTTTATAGAAATATTTTATACAAATTGAGAATGTATGAGAAACAAAGTAATAGTTCATATGAGAGTGATATGAGAATATCTAAGAAACTAAGTAGATATCCCTGGAGAATATCTGGATTACGAAAGTATTTCTTATTATCATGGAAAATATCCTCTCATCTCGGATAGGTCATTGGCATATATCACTTGCTGTGAATGACATAAAGGTATAGTTTATAGTATTTCATATACTGCGTTTACATGAATTAATCATGTAAACTTCAGGACTGATTGATTTCCTAGTTTCTGTGATTGCAACATCTCCAAATGAGGCAATCACATTTGGAGATGTTGCAATCACAGTAGTGAGACTGATTGATGATATATAAATAAAAATTAACAATTGAATTATATAAATTTTAATGTGTTTGTTGTATTCGGCTCTGTCGATTTGTTGTATATTTTTTCATGTTGTAGTCCCTCAAGGTGTGGATTTTTACCCAAGAATATTTTGGTATTGCTAACTTTCCCCCTAAAGAAGCATGCCATTTTCTGCTTTTGAAATATTATGATTTTCCTTTTCAACAGCTATTATTTGCTGCATCTGCTGCGCCATCAGTATGGTCTTTGCTCATGGGGCTGGCAACTATGTATTCATCCTCTTCGATGACTTCTCCGGCAACATTCCACTTCTCATCGTCGCCTTCTTCGAGTGTGTATCCGTCTCGTATGTCTACGGCTTGAAGAGGTGAGGCTTTCGTCTCCGACGTAATATTTCAACTAATCTATTCAGAAGGGCCTCTGTCTAAAAGAAATATTTTGTTTATATGTCACTGTATATCTTCTCCTATGCCAATAGATATTTCTTCCCATATATCTCCACCCATATCTCTAGATATCTCCACCGGTGCCATTATATATCTTCTCTCGTGTTACCAAATTCTGGAAGCCGTATCAGTGCGTCTTTACATCCCAGTAAGTTAATGTGTCTTACCCCAGGTTTAGTGATGATATAGAGCTGATGATTGGGAGCAGACCTAGCGGATTCTTCCTTCTCTGCTGGAAGTACATTTCCCCAGCGGTCATGTTGACCATCCTCGGCTCCTCCGTTATCAAACAGGTGAGGAAAGACCAAACAATATCAACCGATGAGTTCGTTGGTTTCTGTACTTTCAAGGTCCTTATTACTCATGTTAACTATTCATTTTTGTTTATACTTTAAGGTATTTGATCAAGAGTTAGTATTTTTTCATGATGCTTGGTTACTATTTGAAAGATTTTCAATAGGTTTATTCAAGACTCACTAGGACTTTGCTCAGGATCATATATATTTTTAAAGTGCTTTTTTGTTCTTTGGAATATTTTTGTTTTAATTTATTTGTTTAGATATTTGTCTATACTTATAATACTTTCATGATGCTTTTTCATGTCATTATGCTTTAGAATGTAGTTATTCATAGTATGTTAAAAATGTCTGTTTATGAAAGGCTATATTTCTAGACGGTATATTACTTATTCAAATTTTGAAGGGGAATACTCATGGCATAATATTTTACTCAAGGCTTAAAATACTTTCATCATATTTACTCAAGACATGTTAGACTTTAATGATGTTTGCTCAAGGCCTTTTATACTTACATGATTTTGCTCAAGGCCTTTTATACGTTCATAATGTTTGCTCAAGACTTGTTATACTTTCACGATGTTTGCTCAAGACTTGTTATACTTTCACGATGCTTGCTCAAGACTTGTTATACTTTCATATTGGTGCATACTTCTGTTATGTTTGATCAATTCTTTTTATACTTTAATGATATTTTCTCAATGCTTTTATACTTTAATTTTTTGTCTCTGTTTCTTATACTTTTATGGTGCTTGTACAAGTTTTGTTATACTTTAATGATGTTTGCACAAAGCCTGTTATACTTGGATGATGCATGCTCAAGGCTTATTTTACTTGCATGATGCCTACTTAACGCTTGTTATACTTGCATGGTGCATGCTCAAGGTTTGTCTTATCTGCATGATGCCGACTAAGGCTTGTTATACTTGCATGATGCATACTCAAAGCTTGTTACTCTTCCAGGTATTTATTCACGAGTCTTGCCATAATTTTAGGTGACAAGCTATCCCTTCCACAGTTGCTTAGGTTGTGTAATATCCCACAGGTGGTGAACGGGTCGAGCTACATGGCTTGGGATGCAAACGAGGGCGTAGTGACGTTCGAACAGTGGCCGCACTGGGCGTGGGGGCTGGTGGCTGTGTTGGTTCTCATCTCAGCTCTCTGGATACCCGGCATCGCCCTCACCAGGTGAGGAGAATAGTTGAAGGGTAGTGAGGGCAATAAAAGGGGGTAGTGATATAAGGGGAGTAGTAGAAAGGAAGTGATGTAGGGATAGTGATGGATCAGTGGAGATGGGGCATGGTACAAGTACCTCGAAGGTACTAGTTGGTTAACACTGGTCATGGTTCTTGCAGGCTTTGTGGAATTCACATCATCCAAGACGATGAGCCAGCTTGGTTCCCTGCAGAAGAATTAAGGGAATTTCACACCGTCGTTCCTCACAAGGTCAGTCATCAGTCTCTGGCGAGCATACACACAAAATTCTATGTTCATTTATTGCTAACTCTTCCTTAAACTCGTAGTATTTGTAGATAGACATTTCGTTATCTCGTTTACCTCGTTTTAGTCTTCTAAGTGCAATAGAAATGCTAGTGATTTGTAATATTTACTCAGTTTACCATTTTTTATTTTCGTTAGTGAAACAAAAAGCAACCTAAGATTATTAATAAAATAGTATTATCTTTTTAATTACTCAATTTCATGAGAACTTTTGAAATGGTATGGATTAATCTGGAATACATAATTATTAACATAATTTTCTTCTAAGATATATATATATTTGAATCAAAAACTTCGACTGGAAAAAATTTAATTAACATTTGATTACCAAAGTTTTACCTAAATAAATAACTCAGAAGAGGGGGGTAGCTAAATATATGATCATGAACATTTCATATTATGGTTTTAACTTATTGAGGCTCTCAAAATGAACGATAGATAGGCTTTCAGAACAAAAGAAATAAACTTTCAAAAAGGATAGTAGACAAGCTTTCAAAAGGGATTTTGTTCATGATTGTGCAACAAGCTACCAGGTTAAATATAAGGTTTGGGTTCAATAGATTGTTTCAGTAGTAAGCTAGACATATATATATATATATATATATATATATATATATATATATATATATATATATATATATATATATATATATATATATATATATATATATATATATATATATATATAATATATAAATATATAATAGTATGGTAATATTTTGCAGGTATCTAGAATGGGCCATAAACGTTCAGCAGTTTCCCTAACTCATATATTCTTATGTTTAACTGTTCTATTTCCGTTCACCTACTATTTTAAGTAAAGATCACGTACCATTTCAAGTGCACGTCAATTACCATTCCTGTTGCAGGTTACGTACGTGGAGCAAAAACTCTTCTGTATTCACGAGGACGGCAGTGAGGGTTTGTGCTGTCCCATCGGCGCCCCGCCCAAGGAAAATGTCTAAGAGTACGAGAGGTTGTAGGGGTATACAATTCTTGCTCTTGGGAGAAAGAAAGTTAATAAGTTGCCTGTGTGTAGACAGGTGTACTCCGAGATCCATTGACAGAAAGTGACTGACAGGAGTGTGTTTTTTTTAACAAGTTGAAGGAAGAAGAGCGAGGCGCGAAAGCACAATCATTGCTTCACCTGATGGGAAAGTCATTGTCACAGTACTAAGCCTCATTTTCATTGCCTAGTCAAATAAAAATTGAGAGATATATTTGCATAATATTATGGCCAAGGCTTTGCTTTGTACTTTGTTTTAGCTTGAAATATCAAATTTATTGTTGTTGTTTTATTAGTTGCTAATATAGTTAAGGCTGAAATGGCTCCAATAACAGATATAATGAAAACTATGCCACATATATTTCCCCATTCCCAGATGTGCTGAAAGTTATTAACTTCTCACTCTCATTGACTAAAAGGTCCCGCTCCTGGGTTAATGCTACTCTGTAGTGTGAACTTTGTCAAGCACTTGTAAACGAATGTGTTACGATTTGGATTTGAGGACAATATTATGAACATAGAAATGCATTTAATTTGCAAATAAAACAGGTATTTTAAGATGTATAGTACTGATTATTAAACTAAGCTAATCTTCATTGTCGCCAGCAGGAACTGTATAGTACGGGTAGAGTTTTGCAAGTGTATGGGGGATATTTACATGATGGGAGAATTTCTTTATAAAGTACTGATGTGATACTGCTGCTAGTCTACCTCTTTGTAGAATTATTCTTAGCTGGTAGGGATGGGGGGTGGTTTGTTAAGTGATGCACTCGTGAATTGGATAAACACATAGACACACAGACACACAGACACACACACACACACAAACACACACACACACACACACACACACACACACACACACACACACACACACACACACACACACACACACACACACAGGTGGAGGCTGACTCCATACACAGTTTTAAAAGTAAATATGATAGAGCCCAGTAGGCTCAGGAACCTGTACACCAGTTGATTGACAGTTGAGAGGCGGGACCAAAGAGCCAAAGATCAACCCCCGCAAGCACAAATAGGTGAGTACAAATAGGTGAGTACACACACACACACACACACACACACACACACACACACACACACACACACACACACACACACACACACACACACTTACACACACACACACACACACACACACAACAAACACACACACAACAAACACACACACAACAAACACACACACACACACACACTCACACGCAGAACACTCACCGACCTATTTTCTCAATCATGTCTTCTGGTCTAGTTACCGACCATCCCTTGGATGTACTCAACAATGGCTGTCACACTCCACGTTACATGTTTAGTGTTAAGTGAGTGGAAACGTTGCCCATAAGCTTCTACCCTGCTTTACTGTAAGGACAGCAAATAAGTGGATCAAACGAATGGCAGAAATGTTATGACCTGCCACCATCCACAATTTTAAACCCATGTGTCACAAGAAACAAAGAGGGCAGGATTTACTTAATTAGGTGACCTAATTATGAAAATGTTTAAGCCAGGAACTGTCGTTTGACCCTGCAAACTCTATCAGTTAAATACTGTGAGTGTAAGACACACATAGAAACAAGCACAATCACACCCATTCGTGCTGACCTAGACAACGTAAAGTACACATACAATCTCAAGTCCAGCAATATTGCTGGACTTGAGAATTATCAACCTCTGGAGAGTTAAAAGATCCTGGCACTAGCTTACTAACCCAATAGCAAGTATGCTTATTAATTGTCAGTGTAAATACACCCATGAGCAGGGTGCACTTATCGGTACATATTTTCCTTCTATTCAGTGATAATAGTGCACAACAAACTTGATTAATATATATATATATATATATATATATATATATATATATATATATATATATATATATATATATATATATATATATATATAACTTGCAACTCTGATAACTGTAATGCTTCCTGCTGACGACATTGAAAACTGGATGAGTACACAGGAAACGAGTTGGAAATCAAATAATGGGAGGGGGGGGGGAGCACAACAAATGGGTGGGAGGGGCACAACAAATGGGTGAGAGACAAAAATATGGGATAGGTATTTAAACGACAACAACGTCGAATGTGTAGAGATGTATAATGTTTCGGAGAGACAAATAGGATGGAGACCAAGATATCAGGATAGGAGACACAAGATAGCAGGGTGGGAGACAGAAAAGAACAGGATGGGAGAGACAAGATAAAAGGATGAACGTCAAGGTATCGGCATGGGAGACACAAAACTAGATGGGAGAAGATACACGATAACGGGATGTGAGACACACGATAGCAGCATGGAAGACACGACAGAACGAAATCAGAGATTAGAATATATGCCGTAAAAAGAAGAAGGTTAAAGGTAGAAAATGGGATCACTGAGAGACAATGCACACTTAATAAGTGTGACACTTGATAAACATAGACCTGAATTGGACACACAGAGACTGAAGGAATCAGAAACACAAAAAGGGAGGGCGTGAAAACATTTAAAATGGGAGGAAAGGAAACATTGAAAATAGGAGAGAAGGTAAATATTGAAAAATAGGAGGCATGGGAAACAATGAAAATGAGAGGTAAGGGAATTACTGAAAATAGGAATATAGGGAAACACTGAATATGGAGGGGGGGATGGAAGGAAACATTGAAAGTAGTAGAGAAGTTAATCATTGAAAACTGGAAGGTAGGGGAATCACTGAAAATAGGAAGCCAGGGGAAACAAAATGAGCCAGGGAGTGGAGACTATATTTGGTTCATAAAATGCTTGCTCAATATTATTGAAAGGATTGCAGGCTTGTGGATGTTATCTTCCGAACTTTGCTTTCCATGCAGCGGCCTCCATGGGCCAGTTTGCAAGCAGACTCTCATGGGTGGAAAAAAAACGCGTGCAACACAAATCCCTGAGTTAAGAAGTGCCTCTTATTGCTTGTTTGATTGTTATTCATGAAAGTTAATTACAGCTGGTTGCCAAACTATGTTGAAAAACTGTTTGTTACACAATTTAGGAAAATAATAATAATCCACTTTTCTCTGAGTGTTTCATTAATGTTTACTGGTGATGATATAGCAATGTATAGCTCTAGAGGGACGTATATGTATATACTGTAGCTATACATGGTGGGTGGGTGTCATAGATATAGTTATGCTAGAACATTGTTGATGGTTCGTTCCGGCAGACCCAACAGGCGCAGCACTAAGAGAAATGGGCTCAGATACGGTTCCTATTTGTGGAGGATTATGAGTTATTTCTTAAATGTATTTGATACAGCTACGTGTAAATATTGACACTTTAAACCTATATTTTCATGAAAACACATTGTAAGCACACACACACACACACACACACACACACACACACACACACACACACACACACACACACACACACACACACACACACACACACACACACACACACATGCATATATAGCAAGCCAATATGCGAACTGTTGGAGTTTCAGTTATATATACATATATGTATATAATATATATGTGTTAATTAACATATAAGTCACCTTAACATTAAATGTTATTTTTGGAATACCATACAACTAATAATTAAAGAATGACGCATAATTCTCATACTAAAAAGAGAATCAGTTACTCGGCCATTGTTTACAAGCGATCATATGTTATCATCTGAGCGCTATAACGTTACTGTGCCCGCTGGGTTAGCCTGTAGACTCTGCAATAATCTTACTTCTAAGGCATCACTGTCGGTATGCAATTGTTTGTACATTATTTTTTAGCGCGGTGTCCGTGAGTTTGCGTGACCCCGCGAAAATTTGTAATGGCAAATTATCCAAAAGGGAAAGATATGAAAATAATTTCAAGACTGCGTTATTTACCAGGATATGAACCATTGTTCTTTGTTTATCTTGTTGGCAGATCTGAAGCAGCGCCTTTTGTTATGACCTTCTGTGTGTGGTTTATATATATATATATATATATATATATATATATATATATATATATATATATATATATATATATATATATATATATATATAATACATATTCTTCATCCTCAATTTGAATTTATTCCGTGCAAAAAAATGTAATAATTATTTTATTAGGTGAATTTTTACAAATGTGTACAGAACATTTGGAGTATGTGAGACTGACCATGTATCTATATAAAATTTTCAAGTGTTTGTGCCTTTCGATAAGCGCATCTTTCCTACCCAGCAAAGTGTGCTGATCAAAAGGAATAGAGAAGTCGAAAGAAACTTAGTTGAATCAGATTATTGTTATTGTAATAGTGAGAGGGAAAGGTATGCATATAAATATATTCCTGAAATGTTTTAAGCAATAGGATGTAATCAATTTCACGTTCTGGGCATTTGCTAAAAACGTGTGCTGACACTAGATTATAAGACGCATTATGTAAGTCAACCTGATAGCTTACTAAACATACATGTATTCTTAAAGAAACTTAATTGTATCCAGAATCCATTGTTTATCCCCTCCTGCTTTGGTCGAGGTAACACAAGATCAATGTTACCATTACCACAGCAGGAGTGGGATCCATTAATCAAATATTGTAAGTACTGGCTAAGTGCCTTCAAGTCTCCATGAATGTTCGTAAGGACATCGTATATTACTACAGCTTCCCGTAGTCTAGTGGATAACACGCGTGTCTGTTAATGCTACAAACTTGAACTGTTTTCTCCCTATTGCCTCGACATGTTCAGTGTGTGTGTGTGTGTAAACATACTGAGTGCTTTGGAAAAGAAAGTAGCTTCTTGCTCTCCAATCACGCCCGACACAGACAACTAGATGCAGATAAGCACTAACAAGAGATATTTAAATGATTATGAAAAGAGTTTTCCCGGGTGCAAGCAATATATATATGTCGGTCGTGTTGGGGATGCCGCTCGGAAGCTGTGACCATCAGAGCAGCGTTGTGCGCATGAGTGAGTATGAGGTATACACATGAGACAGAGATGTGATATGTATTTGCGGGTGGGCCAGAGGTGTACAGAGCTGAGATAAGGGTATACACGACCGAAACAAGGGATTTAAACAACAGAGACAGAGGTATTCACTAGTGACAGATATATATATATATATATATATATATATATATATATATATATATATATATATATATATATATATATATATATGGGTTAATCAGAGTTTTACGCGAGTAAACCTAAGGCGAACACGAGTGCCAAGGATGCAAACGATCGTACTGAAACACGGGTGTTCATCATCGAATGAGACTCAGATACGTACCGGATCATCTGTCAGGAAAGATTTGCACAACAGCTTCAGTGATTTAAAGTATACTCAACTGTCAATAAATGATAGGGGCACATATAGTCTAAGTCTGGAAGTATACCCTTGCGTCTCTGAATCAAACCATAAGTTCATTTCCATCGAACAGGTTTGAAGAACAATTTTTCGGGACTAATATATATAATTATTTTCCTGCCCACTAGTTGAAGGAGAGACCAGCGAGAGTAATGTACGATACTAATTTTTTTCGACAACCTGTGATATATTTTTGGGCCAAGATTTTATCTATTGATTATTTTTTTAAGAAGCAAAATCACGTTCTTCCAAGAAACCTCCACAAGAGTTAAGGCCTCAAAAAAACAAAACAAATATAATCCGAATTTTGTCCACTTTGCTTCCGCGATAGAAGGCTAGAAATTATCACAACGCTCCCCAATGCACGTTTGATTATTCTTTATTGAATTTTCGTTCATCACAGAGTACGAAGAAGCTCCCTGAAATACTTCAAGCTTAATGTGCATCTACGAGCTAATGTTTACCAAAAAGAAGGCCTACTACAAAATCACGACATTTTTTTTTTATATATATATA